TCACATTTTAAAAAGTATGTAATGTATCAGACTATGTAATTTTTTCAACATACCTATTTTGCAAGCTATTTTTCCTGTTTTTAATTTTTGTTATACCCCTAGTAATAATATCTTTATTGTTGGTTATTTTCACCATTTTGGCACTTTCTTCTGTATCTGTAGTTGGATCTATCTCTAAAAATTAATATAAATATAACAGTTTTAGAAAATTAACATTTATAATATTTACAAACTTGTATGCATATGATTGTAACTATAATAATAATATATTTTGCTTTTTAATAAATATTCAATCCGTATTATTTACCTTGCACATATACAACATTGGGTTCTGGATTTTCTACATTTTTAACTATAGCTGTGTCTGTTTTTTCAAAATTAAGGCGAGGCTTAGGGTCAGCAACTTCTTTTGATGTTGTAGCCACAGTCACTGGATCCTAAAATAAATCATTAAAACATTTATTAACATGTTTTTCTGTCACCTGTCATCTCTATTTTGCCCTTTATTGAATCAGGTATTTTCTATGTTGTAGAAATATTATTATGATCCAAGACAAAAGGTAATTTAATAAATTATTAATTATAATACCTAATAGACAAAAATAGAAAATTATAATCGGACTGTGTAGATAATCTATTTTTTATTATATAGACCACTATATATGAATTTGTGACATTTCAATTTTGAACATAATTAATTATAAAGAAATTTATGTTAAATTGTTACTAAGTATATTAAATTTTGAATATTCGGAAAATAATTTTGGATTGTAAATTGTATGCTTTAAGAGTAGATTTCAGAGCACTACCTAGGTTCTAAAGTAATGGAAAATAAAGTTCTTTAATTTTAATTAAATTTGTAAGACATGTAAGTAATTTTATTTACCACTGCATCACTATCATAATTATTAACTTCAACGATAAAGTCGTGAGGGGCAATGGACATTATTTCCAAGTCCTCAAGAGAAGGTGATGGAGGTTTTCCGCCACCCCCGGTCTTTGATTGTTCCCTCCTATATGTGTATAAGTTTGATTTAGCACACAACTTCATTCTTTTCCAAGATAATTTCAATTCACCATCTGATCGGCGTTTACCTGTTATCTCATTAAATCTAAAAAAAAAAATACGAAATCACGTAAACAATACCGTAACTATTTGTACACATAACAAATGCGATAAGTACTTACTTATTAGTTATATTCTTCCACTCTTTTATTTTTTGAATATTTACCGATGTTTTTGTCGACTTATTCTCTATTATATGTGCTGATTGTGAAATAAGTGTACGTAATATTTCCTATAATAATAAGAACATTCCTTTTAGTTGAAATAAGGATAATAGGAGGATAAGAGTATTGCTACGTACTGACAAATAAATTTCGATATTTCACTAACTTTTTCTTCAGAACTCCAATTTTCACCCCGTTTTTTCTTTTGTTCCATTATTATATAAATATAACTGTAATAGCAAGTACTTAATTAATTATTAATAATTTAATTTACTTATTATAAGGCTGCAATATAAACTATTTTGAACGTCTCGAATCCCGCGCTCGCGTTACCTCTGTAATTCACTACATTTCACGCTAGAGTTGTTAAACTGAAAACAACTTGATATAATCAAAAGCGCGTCAAAAGTATATGTCAAGCTTGTTCAATAGATTTTAACGTAAACAAATAACAATGTATGATATGTTTTTGTATTGATGGATAATTATTTAAGCATAATTAAATGTGAAAATAATATTAATATTTTATGAAACCGAACGTTGCATTGAATGAAACCTGTATGAACGAATGATAGAGTGTCATTTTTTGTTTTTTATCTGTGAATGATATTTAATATAATACTAACGTTGGTATTAACTGGTCCTCGGGTAGTCTGCGTTTTGTAATAAGCACACGTTTTAGTGCTGGTATTAACTAGAATATTGTAACAAACCTGGACTTCTTACTCCTAAACTTAACCCAGTACTAAAACATTTTTTTGGAATAAGACTGTATAACTTCGTTGTGGATAAAACTAGAAGTCTGAAAAAATTTTTAAATTGACTTGGCAATCGCACTAAACAATCTAATTTAATATAATATGTATTACTTGAGAAGGTCTTGAATTTGGTCAGGTACTCCTGTAGGGTGTCATTACGTGGAGTGACCTGAGTCTTAAAGGGCGCATAGGTGATAAGGCCCTCTGTTCCATCTTGGATGAGAGCGTTCCTGTTGTTAGTCCAGTTGAGAGGCACTCTGTCTGGGAAAGTGAAACAAGACCAGGTATTGAAGATCCGGTCTTCGTCGTCTTCGAACTCTCTACGAAGAGTCCTGTAACACATCACTTTAGCTGCTATCGCAGCGCGTAGTGGTAGGATCGTCCTAGTCATGGCGACACCGTTATATTCGATGGCCTGCTTAAACCGCGTGTTCCCATATTCAAGGGGCTTCCACGTTACCTGTTGGACCATGCTTCCGCCCGTTGTATTCGGGATCTTGGTCATCTTGTAACGCTTACACTCACGCAAGCGGCGTTCTACTAATTCAAATAGTTCACGGTCGATCTTATACCGAGTCACTATTACGTTGTCGTCCGGGTCGCGTCCGATCACGTCGTTGATTTCGCTCATCTGATTGGCGTGGAGCGTTTTGGATCGTCGCCATCCCAGTAGGTTTACATTTGGGAGAATCCGATCCGCTTCATCGTCTTGTTCCTCCTCAAGTGGTGCGTCACCTCCCTCGTCGTCATACTCTTCATCGAGTTCGGCGTTCGCTCTAGCCTGTGCGCGCTCGCGGCGTCCCGCCTGTGGCTGCGCTCATGCTGCTGCTGGCGCTTGAAGCGCCCTTGCTCTATCTGCCGATGTGATATCGCCGAGCATCCAGTGGTCACTTTCTTGTCCACCTCGTTGGCTTGCTTGCAAATCTTCTACTACACGTTGGTAGAAGATGGCCGGTGCGGGAAGGGTCTCGTAAAACCTGTGGGTCTGAGCCGTCGCTCGTCCGAAGTGGCCTTCGGGATTTGGTTCGTGTGCTTTCAACAAGTGTTTAACACCTGTGAAGTCTTGAAAATCCCCGAGGCCTTCCAAATATTCCCCGGCTCCGGCAGCGATTACAGCTGATTGGTACCCCGACACAAACCGGACTAGTCTGTCCTGGTCAGGGCTAGATGTGCCGCGCTTTTGCGCAATCAACGCAATCTTATACCAGTAGAGAATCTGGTGATAATATGCGTGAGCGCTAGCTGGTATTGACTTAGCATAATATTTGTCCACATCAGCAATCGCTTTATACTCCGTCTCGACAAGCTGCGTGTATCCCGCAGCATCTGCATTGAACTCTTTTGAGCTCAGCTCGTTTACAAAGCCGGTTTCGCCGTCTATGAGAAATGAGTCCTTCCATAGTGGGTCATTAGTTAGTGGTGTTTCGGTAGTCGATTTCATTCTCGGTGGTGGCAGTGTCTTGCTAACCCTGTTGTGCGGGCGCTTGAAGTTGGGCTTTCGCTTACCTCCATTCTCCTGGCTTGTACTCTGTTGCGCGGGTTTCGCGTTCGCATTCGAATTTGGAGCTGACATTACGTCTAGCAACCTTCTTACCTAGTTAAATGTTAAAAACAAAATGAAAATATAATTATAGGGATACAATAAATAAAATAAAAGACAATTCAACTGTAATCATAGGTTAATACTAAAAATACTAAAATTGGCCCAAAAAGGGAGTTCGTTCTATCTATTTACAGTTGTTGTCGCGATGCACGGCACGCCAATATTGTAGTATGGGATTCTCTGGGCACTCGTAGCACACCCTGAGGATCTCATTCTCGGAATCACGGATGCGGGACCAAAAAGCTGCAACCCGAGATCTAATAACGGCGAAGTAATCGGGCACCCCGGCGTTGGCAAACATGCTCGACGCACTGCAGTATTTAGGCAGTTTCATAAGAATGCGGAATGCATTATTATATTGCACTCTAATGCTGCTACGTGCATTTTTTGTACTATCCAACCAAAGCTGATAAGTATAGAAGCATTGACAATATGCTCTAAACAGGGTCAGCCTTACCTTGGGACTGCACCGCGCAAACCGGCGTGCGAGCATATTACACCGAACAGCCACAGAGCCCTCCTTTCACGTTCTATATCGAGGTTATCACGCAAATCCTCAGTCAGGATATGCCCCAGGTACTTGAATACACTCACTCTTGCAACAGATTCACCGTCGCCGTCATCGCCTTCTTATTTGCTAGCAAGTGCGGTCGATCAAGAAAATATACATACTGGAAAAATTATACCCGGTAGTTGGAGAACCGAGATTGAAGAATTGCGTAATCTTGAAAGATTTAAGAGTTTTCAAAGCACCAATTTAGCTAATAGAATACGTGACCGAATGAAGGACTATTTCAACAACGATGGAGCTGTACCCTGGCAATATCGTCATATATCCTAAATAATGTAATAAAATATTGTTTTAATAAACACTAGGTACGTACCTCAGATTGTATTGTTCCTTCAAAGTTATCCTGAGTCTCGGTGCTTCGTGTAATAGATTTTAATAATGTATCCATTACATAGTACCTTACTTAACACATTGACTGCCATGTAGGGCACCGGTGACCGGAGGCGGTCTTGTATTAAGGCGCCACGTAGGACACCGGTGACCTCACGGTGAACCTGTTTTCAGAGTTTATTTACGCGCCGTAGTACGCGTTTTCTATAGATTTCCTATTAGTAAGTGACCGGAATGGCGCTCAGGAGTAATACTTTCGCATGGTTTCTATGTAACGTAAAAATATTTTGAATTATTGAAGATAAACGTTCAATAACGTTAAAAATCCCAGAACATAACATTTTTTTTAAATCCAAACATATTTATAAATGGTATGGGAAGAATAATAAAACGAGTAGTAAAATTAAACTTTTTTACCTTTTAGTATAAAATTGCCCACTAATCTGAAAAAAAAAAACAAAAAAGAAAAGAAACAATATATCTGAAAATGAAGTTCACATTCTTACAATTACAAATACCGATGGCACTTATTAAAACATTGAAGACAATAGTGGGGTAGTCCAGGACATTCAGGACAATAGGTTGCCACTTTTTTTGCCTTGTTTTTAGCAAGTCTTGATCCAAACGTCGTGACACTGGTTTTGTAGCATTCTACACAGAAGCGCCTGGATTGCCTTACTTTGCCTTCCTTTGCTTTTAATGTATGTTTCAGTCTTTTAGGTCTCTTAGAAATAGATTCATTTTTACCAGAGTCTACTAGATATTCTACTAATTGACGTCGGAATTCTACAATTCCTTGTTGAGTTGTATTTTCGCAAAACATGATCCAGGCATTTACTACAGCCGTATTTAAAATTAATTCGATGCCTAATTTCTTATACCATTTTATGGTTTTTCTTAATGGTGATGAATACGCGCTCATCTGATCGCTCATGTCTACAGATCCTTTTGCTTTATTATATGCTATAACCATCTTCGGTTTTCGAATCACTTTTCCTTTTTTATGCACACTAGCAAATCCTTTAGAGTGTTTAGTGGAGAGCATGAATACACTTCGTTTATCCTTCCAGTGCAACACTGTTATACCGCGTTCGTTTTCCATTGCTACAGATTGGCCTGGTTTGAGTTTTGCATTAATAACTTGTTTGGGCAGGCCCTTTCTATTTTTTCTCAGCGTGCCTACTAAATGAGTATACCTATCTAGAAGTTCATTGGCTAAATCCAAACTCGTATACCAATTATCCGTAGCTACGGTGTGCCCCAAATCAAGTATTTCTTTACACAGTGACATTACAACGTTTTTAGGCGTTGTATTCAGCTGTTCGTGGTTTTTACCAGCGTAAAGTTCTAATTTACAAGTATAACCTGGTATTGTGCACAGTTTGAACAGCTTCATACCATATTTGTGCCGTTTGCTCTTATTATATTGCCTAAAGATCAATCGCCCGCGGTAAGGCACTTGACTTTCGTCGACACAAACTTCTTCTTTAGGCGAATAGTACCGTCGAAATGAGTTATTTAACGTATCTATCAGACTGCGTATTTTATAGATTCTATCGGTGGTATCTGCAGTTTCGTTGTCAACGAAATGCAGATTCTGCAACAACAGTTCGAATCTATTACGACTCATGATCGAAGGTGCAAAAGTTTGTTTGAAAACTCTGTCTGTGCTCCAATATAAAGTTATTTTTGGGAGTTTGATTAGTCCCATGTACACAATAAGTCCAAAAAGAGCCTTGACTTCATTTTTGATTGTTGACTTCCAACTATTCAAACGCGATGACGGCTTTGAGCTTTCGCGTCGCTCAGCATACAAGTTGGTTTGCACAGCTATTTCCTCAAAAATTTCGTCTGAGACTAATAATGAAAAATAGGCTCCTGGGTCTGCATTTCGTAGTTCAATATCATACGGTTTCTTGATACCTAGAACAAATCCGTGCTTTGGTTATAAAAGGACATAAATAGACAGTAGACTATTTAAAAAGAGTAAAAATATTCTTGACTGTTGAGCATTAACCATAGAAAACATACAGATGAATTGAGAACCTCCTTCTTTTTTAAGTCGGTTAATGAATAAAACACAAACTTACAGCACATAAATCCGTATATTATTATATTTATATCATTATAAATACCTGTTGGCTCCGTAAATGCAATCACTGATGGTTGGAGTCCTCTTGGTTCTCTCCATTTTTGTGGCCTACTTGACGACATAAGAGCCACATTTTGAGTGACAAAATTTTCCACCGAATCACATTCACTTTCCGAATCGCTTCTTATACAAAGACGCCTTCGATTTTTTGGGGGAGGGATATTCTCATCCCCACTCTCCGTACACAAATCTTCCTCTAAATCGTATACGTTGTCACATAACGTGTCTACTTTATTCAACAATGACTTTTCCAGTAAATCAATTTCATATAAATTATCCTGGGTAAAAAATAGGTCCTCAGAGTTTATATCTAACTCGGACATTGTTTACTAAGTACGTACGACAAAAGAAAGTGGTAATCGCAAAATGACATAACGTAACATCCGTTCCGTGATAGCGCGTGTAAGCGACTAAGGTGCGCGGGTGCCCGGAGAGATGACCGCACGGCGCCTTGGTAACAGAAATCAACATAATTACTTCTGTGCGCCATGTAGGGTACCGGTGACCTCGTGAAGTTTTTTTTAATTTTCTACGGAACCCTGCCTCCGATTGACCCCAAAAATACTATGTATATCTAGACCCATAACATCAATTGACACAATTTTATTTTTTTTGTGATTTTTGTCATTATTACTCTGGCAGTTAATGTAAGTAAACTTCGTTACTTCCACTGCCAGACTTTTGAGATTTTTTTATTTTCATTCGTTCTTGGTTATAAGTACATCGGAGGTTTTTGATTTTTTGTTTTAATTCAGAAACTCCAAAGTTTTCCTTGCTCATTGCACGAATAATATATTCATAGGCCGCATTCCTTTTGTTTTTATCTTTATAATCACGGTGGCTTATATCCCAGATACACGGAAACTCCCCGTAAAGCTCCACTAGTTTTAAAGTTTCTGATTCAGCCCACTTCATGATATTTTTTTCATAAATTACTACTACTAAAAAAAACTGCGTACAACTTTAGTAAACAATGCCATGTGCCTTGTGTAAACAAGTCTAAACTAGTTACTCTACTAACCGTTTACATAGGTCGAGTACTCCGTAAAGTAGAGTGGACGCCGGGGTGGGGGAAGGAAAGTGGTAGAGTAACTCTCCCACGGTGCTAGCCTACTCTACTCTACCAAATTTCAGTACTCTACTCTACCAGCGGTGGCTACATATGTATATTCTACGAACATCATTCCTCGTCAAACCATGAAACTTGCTCTCCATCTTTAAAATATATTCTACTAGTAGATTTTCGAGCTGATCACCTAAAACAGATTTTCTTCCTAATTTAGTGGCTGCAGCTTCTTCTGGAGATAGCTCATTTTTCTGACACAATCCAAACAAAGTGGTTCTTGGTACATCAAAGTGTTTTGCTGCTTTAAAATAACCCATTTTTTTCTCTCTGACCATTCATATAGCTTCTGTCATGTGATCTGTGTTTCATTCTTTTCGTTTTCCTTTTGAACTTGAAGACGTCATTCTAAAACCAAAATATTAAATTTAAATCTAGCCAGATGATTATGTGGTATCCAAAATTGGAATAGTAATCCATATTTAGACTCCACGGACTGTTCATATTCGGAAATTTCAAAGTAATCAAAACGTATATCAGATTTTTTTACTCATCAAGATCAGACAAGAAAAAACCTCTAAAACAATCAAACAAACATGTAATCAATGCATACTCATAATATACAATATTATTTACAATCATGTTTTGAGAAATACTTAGTTTTTACGTACCTTAAAAACTTTTCTCACAGCGCCAAAACAAAACACTCTTACTGCGGCCACAACATTCGCCCGACTGCCATATAACATAGTCATATTGCATTGTTATTCTAATATGTACAGTATTGTTATATGTTGCAATTTTGAAAAACATAATGTGGATGTGTTATAAAACAAAAGTTACGCAACATGTTACTTAATCTGTACGCACCCTTATACACAATTAGATCTCTTAATATCCTGTAGGGAAGCATAACGGATCGAAAAATGTATGTTTCATTTCATTTTAGAACTTAAATGTGTGTAAATAAAATAAATATGTCACATATTTTTTGTATTATTTATAAAAAAATTGACAATTACTAAGCGAAAAAAAAATCTTGAAACCACAATAATTGAATGTTCTAAGTATTTTTGAAAAATATTCCAAAATATGTCACGTTTTGATATTCGGGGCTCGAATTTTTTTGGAATTTTTCGAATAAATAGTAGTGTATTAATGTTTGAATATTTACACTTTTTTCCTCTCTAACACGTTCCCAGCGGCACAGATTGATCTGTACTTTCCATTACTGCGTTACGAGGCGTTTAAAACCTTGTCTTAAACCAGACATTGTGGCGGCACGAGGCTTATTAAACCCCACCGCCCTTAGGAGACCAAAATCCTTTTTTTGGTGCCAAATATGACAAATTGTACAGCTTTTGTCGCGATTATTATTAACAATGAGTTCATTAACCTATATCTGCCGCCGCCTATGGTTAGATTATTTAGTTTAGATTCTATAGGTAAAATAAAATGTGGGGTCTGATGTACCTCGTACCGCACTGAAAAATAGCAGATTTTCATATTATTTAGTGATGGGAAAATAAATATCGATTTTATTTAATTGTATTTATTTATCAAAGTTATGGATGTTTTTCATTAAAACACGTCAAGCAATAATATTTTTTGCAACTAGTGCATTCTGTGAGAATTTTCTTCACTTTTTTGTCAGCCTCACGACTTGTCAAGAAGGCGCGGAGTTTATCGTAACATCCTACACATCTCCTCTTCTTTGATCCCTTTTCGAGATGATGTGCATTGTTTGCAGTGGCTTCTGAAAATAAAAAAATGTGTATTTGTGAAGCGGATTAGGGCCAACCCACACGGACCACAACCACGCGACAACCACAACCACACCACAACCACACCACATGGTCGGGCGCATATTTTGTATTGAAAATGAATAGTTTAATTCACACGTACCACGTGGTGTGGTTGTGGTGTGGTTGTGGTTGTCGCGTGGTTGTGGTCCGTGTGGGTTGGCCCTTAATTAGTTTAAAAGCGTAATAAGGGACTTAATATGTGTAAATGCATGATAATACGTTACAAAACTTTAGATATAATAATCAGTTCCAACTCGACTCTACTCTGCGCAACATTGTTATTTTTTTTTTATTTTATTCCTTCTCCTGACAAAAGCAAACACATCAAAAAAAGAATTAGCGAAATCGGCACGACATAACGCGTGAACGGCTGAACAGATTTCGCTAATATTTTTTTGTTATATTTGCTATTGTCAAGAGAAGGTTCTTATAAAAGAAAAACATTAAGAAAATTGTGCAGTAGGGTCAAGCTGGGTAGATTAAGGTAAGAGTAAGGTAGATTCGGGTAGAGTCGGATAGAAGTTGGGTAAAGTTGGTTAGAGTAGAGAAGAGTTGGGTAAAGTTGGGCAAAAGAGTTAAATTTTGATGAACAAGACATCTGCCGGGTCCGCTAGTTAATTCAATAAACAAACACATTAATAGTTATTATGATCATCAGCCTATTTGAAGAAAGTTACTCAACATGTCACATTCACGTTTCCATTAACATATAACGAGTAGTTAGGATATTTGAAAATTACCTGTATCCACCTCCAAGTCTTTCTTTGTAAAAGCTTCAATAACTTGTTCCACAAATAGTCTCTTTGGCATTTTATTTCTATCATCATTAATTGAATTATACACAATCCAGGCGTTAATAAGGGCTGTACCAAATATTAGCTCCATTATTACTTTCCTCCACCATTTAATTCCTTTCTTTAATGTTGTATAATACGAAGACATTATAACACATCCGGGTTTTTTAATACTTTCGTTAGTGCCTCTCTTCTTTTTCCCAGTATCTATTAGTTTATCGTCATGATCTTTGCACGTAGTCAACATTAAAACTTTTCTTTTATCTACCCAGTTCAATATTTTCACGCCCTTTTTGTTCATTTTTCCAATAATCTGGCCCTTTTTTATTTTCGCATTAATAACTTTCTTTGGCAAATATTTTCTTCTTATGTTTAAAGTTCCACATAGAAAAGTTTTTTGTGATAGGAGTTTTTCTACCAGACTCAACGAAGTATAGAAATTATCTACTATTACGATTCTTCCCTCTTCTGTCAAATTGTTCATCAATTTTAATACTACTTTCTGACTGTGATCGACTTCTCGCTTCTGATCTTTTTTACCTGTATAAATCTCTATTTGGTAGGTATAACCTTCGGGGGTGCAAAGTTTGTACAGCTTAACGCCATATCGGTGAGATTTGTTTTTTATATACTGACGGAAACCTAATCGCCCTCTCCAGGGTATCATTGTCTCATCAATTACTACATATTTTCCGGGGTTTAATATATTCTGAAATTTGTCAGTGATCATCGAAAGCATATCTCTGATTTTATGTAGTTTGTCAGTTTTATCATCATTTGAGACATCACTGACATGCCAGCATTTTAATAGGAGTAAAAATCTGTCTCTTGTCATTGCTGAACGTATAAATTCGTTTCTGTATAATTTGTTCTTGCTCCAATACAAATTTATATGAGGTACTTTACATAAACCCATTGCCATCACAACTGCCAGAAATGTTTTCATTTCCTGAAAACTAGTATTAGTCCACTCTTTCATACGTGATTTACGTTTCATATTTTGTTGGTTTGTTCGTAAATAGTTTTGTGCATAATTGTTTGTCTCCAATGCCATTTTATTGATCATCTCATCTGTTACAAATTACTTATATACATCTTCAGGTGATTTTACAAACGGCGGTATATTGTAAGTATTTTCCCCAACAAATTCATCAAAATTTACGGGACTCTCCAATATGTCTTCCCACTCATCGTCATCGTTCTTGTTAGTTTGGCGGTCGGGCAATGCCTCTTCTGCGTCTAAAGTTTCGTTTTCTGTATCTTCATTTTCATCTTCTAATTCCTGTTCTTCGTCTATGCAAACCTCTAATGAATAATTATCAGATCCTTCCGAATCGCTTGAATTGTCATTAGAAGGACTATAATCCTTATCATCCCCGTTGTCACTAACATCTTCGATATTATTATAATTATTGGCATCAGGTGATTTTGAAATATCCTGTAAATTATCTCGAGTTCTGTCTTCAGTTATCTCGTCATCGCTATTCAAATTTTCAATACTATCATAGTCTATTGAACCAGGCAATTTAAGTATAGTTGACAATTTATTACACCTGTTTTGTTGTTTTCGATCAACATCCTTCGAAACATTTTCAACAATCACAGAAACCTCTATTTCTCGTTTTTCTGCACATGTGGACAAATTAGAGTCGTCTGAAACTGCAAATTCAGACATATATTTTTTACTTGATCTCTTTTGTTCCGGTGTTTTAAGTAGTTCCTTTAAATTTTCCTCATTAAGAGATAAATCGCAGTCTAGTAAATTGGAGCGTGAAATTTCTGATAAAGAGAAAGAATGGCTCTGCTCTCAGAAACTATATGACGGAAGTCTAATGAAGGTGAACATAGAGATGACGAATTTTTGTTTTGTTTTTTAATCTGATGTCTTGGGGTGGTTGGGGCACTAGAATAGGGAAAGGTAACATTTTGTAAAACTTGACAGGTTTTTCCGGTACTTGGACTCAAATAAATTGTTTCTTTTTGTTCTATGGCTTCAACACGGTTCCTTACATCGTTATTTTTGGAATATCTAAGTCCCGTTTTTGCTTTGTTATGTAATTTTCCTGTATTTGTAATAATGATTGAGGTTGCATGTTTATTCATAATATGTTTTGGTTTTCGAATATCAGTCGGTTGAATTTCTTTACTTAAATTTACATCTTGTGGTGCTCTATATTCAATTGAATTTTTATTTTTTTCTATTTCAACAGTGTCAGATATCTTAAAACGTTTTATTGAAAAAATCTCTTCATCACTAGAATCTTCATTTTGCGGGGTATTACAACTTGGTGGGCTCTGAAAAACAATAGATACCTCTACTTTAATAGTATTTTACAAATACAGGCCGCAGCTCGGGTACGAATGGCTGTTTATTGAGTGTACCGATCAAAACGTGGCGTAAATGGAGTAATCATGTTCAGGATTTCAACGAATTATTTACCAAGCCAAAATAAATTTGCGGTCTGTCATTCAAAATACTTTTAATTAAAATTATCAATGAATAATATTTGAAAGCTCAAAATGGTAAGGGTAACTTTTTTATACGTTATTTATTCGTTTTGATTATAAAGTACCAAAATGTCGACAAAAACCCAATTTCAGTATGTTCAAAATAAATCACGGATATCAATTTTTATACGAAAACTATCATTTTGTTCGGTACAATTTTTATTAAGCTGCTAGCGAAAGGCTTCCGCAAAAGTTGTTTGTTAGCAGTAAATATTATTTTTTAATGGAGCATGCTATGTTCAGAGCTCATTGTATAATTATTGTTATTAAGTATTGCAGTTTTAAAGAAAAACGAATCAAGCATGCTAGTTGCAGGAGGTATCGCTTAATCATGAAGCATTGTATTTTTTTATTATACTCCAGGTTTTCAAATGTAACTGGTTTTTATAATATTTTGCTGTTGTTCATTCCACAAATGTCAATTTTACAAATATTACAAATTAGGTATATTAGTGATGTTAGTGTTAGTTAGTGTTAGTGTACTCTCGACACTAGGGTTTGCTGGGTCGATTGACCTGCGCTGCGACCCACTCGCTAAATAGAAGAAGTGTTAATGATTCGCGTCTTAAGCTTTTCACACAAAAACGCCAAAAAATATAGCTTAATTAACTTAAAAGCACCACTCCAACTATTCAGTACGTACTCACAGATCCGTTAAATACCGTAATCCTTTATGCTAGATCGCTAAAAACAAAATAAAAATGTAGTTAATTCATAATAGCTGTCTGTGGATATAAAAAATCATAAAACTCACTTAAACACTTAATCAGAGAGGTTGACTAGTAGAACTACTTATTCCCACTAGCAAATCTGACGTATTAAAAAAAAGTCATCGGAGTTTTGTGACAATTACCTTAAAAGGATATCAATTACCTACGTTTCCTGTATCAATCCTCCTATATACCTATATACCTACTGAACATTTTGAACAAGGACAGAAAGCGTGATTATAATATAATTCCTCACTATACAGATATACAGCTAGCCTATCGAGTCCCACTGCTGGGAGTCCCTCCCTATACATAGTATACAATATTATACACAATATTTTAAAATTAACGTACTTATTTAGCTGAAATTTATTTATTAAATACATAATTATTTCATCTATATTATTATTATTTATTCGGAGTAGGTATATTTATAAATATTAATTAGTGACTGACCTGTTTTTGAAATATCATCAGCGATTTTGACTCAGATTCACCACCCGGTTTTTCTTCATCATCCTCTTTAATTAACTTTCTTCGGCAACGTTTCGACATAATCGACAGCAGTTCTTCGTCGCGTGCGCAGCCTGGCATGCGTTGCACAACACTAACCGCGTGAAGCTAGCGTAGAGTGCGGTACGAGGTGCGCGGGGGTACGAGGTTTTCGGAACCTCTTACCGCACTGTGTTAGAATTTTATTTGTTCAGTGCGGCACGAGGTCTAAGAAACCCGGTATTAAAATAAGTATACCATAGAACTAGGAATCAATAGCACATCTCAGATATATAGTTATCTCTTTCCTATACTGAACCAGATGGAAGTTATGCCTCGCGCACGACAGAGAAGTTTAAGTTTTTCCTTACCGCTATAAAGAAATGACACGTACAGGGCGTTTCAAGCCCTGTTTCGCACTTAACGTGCTAACTAGTTTTTCCGTGTCTTTACTAGTCGTCGTATTCCATCAAGTCTATGTTTCTCATGTTTTAAAGTGAACTATTCCACGGTGACAGGGTGATCTCCGTTGTTTTCTTGGAGGTACGAAGGCTACTACTCTGGCAAGTCTGTATAGTTCTCGTTTTGAATTAACGAACTTTGAAATATTTTTGGTAAATCGTCAAGAATTATTTGATGCTCTAGATCAGTGTTAAACATTTCAAGGATCACCATATCACCTTTAAGATATTAAATACAGTTGTAATTATTTTGATATAAAACATTATTCTAAAATAGAGGTTTTTTGCAATGTTTAGTTCCACATGATGTTATCATAGACAAATCAGATAGCTTGTTGAGATTAAGTTCTTTGTTTGTATCCGTTATATATGCTAATGGTGCAATTATATTACTACGGTCTTCTTTGTTACATTTTTGACACTCTTTTATTATTGTACAACTTGGTGTATTTCGGAATATTCTTAAAATAATTTGCATCACGCTGGTTTCACAGCATAATAAAATTGAGCCCTCCTTGACAACATCGTCATTGCTAGCCACGATCAATTGCCCATTGTCAATTGTCGGCCATTATTCGCCATTGTGCCCTGTACACAATGGCCTGCATCTGACCACCACACCGTGGACCACTGTGTACAGGAGCTTTAATATATCGCGCATCCCAAACAATAGGGGCGTATTTACAAAACCGTTACTTTTCAGGAGAAACATAAACTTAATAACTTTTCTCGTGATTAAGTCAGCCCGTTGTGTTTTTGCATGTGGCCATATATTTTCATTTCAGTTAATATGGGATGATTAAGATAGATATTTCCTCTATAACACTAGTTTTTGTTCTATTTGGCATAACGGCAAAACCGTACAACTCAATCAATATTCGCCTAAAACTGCTTGAAATTTATGGACGTCAAACATTTTTCCTTAAATTATTATTAATAATAATACCAATGGTAATTTGAAGTTAGTTGGTAATTTTACATAATACTGTAATTTTGGAATGAGAAACCAAAATTAACGTTATTTCCGTCTTTTAAAAAATTGTACGCCTGTTTAGCTTGTCATTAATATTGAGAGGTGTTTGGTTTCAAAGTAGAAGTATAAACTATTTTTGTTCAGCAAACAAGAAAAATAAATGGTGGCAATTATTCAATATTATCAGAGTAAAAAAAAATGAGAAAAAAAGATAAGCATTTAAAAAATAAAAAGTATTCATATATCTGAATATAATTATTTAAAATGACATAAAATCACAAATGTATAAAATGGAACGTAAGATATTAGAAGAAACGAAATTAAACCAAAATATTAAAGGAAACTTCTAAAAATTAAATTTTATACATAATTCAAAAGAACAATTATTTGAAACTAGGTGTTCTCCGATTCTTCGCCCGCGTGGAGTTATTTTTCGCGGAACCCTAAAATAAATGTAGTCCAAGTTACTCCTTATAACATCAGCTATCTGGCAGTATGTATAAATATTGACATTAATATTTATACGATACTAACGTCACTCAATTGTTTTGCCTTCCCGGAACTCCGCCACTAACACTTAAACTCTATGGTTTGGTATTAAAGTTCAAATTGACTTTAAGTATTATTACGAATCTTTTGTATGGGAATATAGAAGTGTTGTTTTGGACTTTTTCAGGCAATTTTTTAAAAT